AGCAAAGCTAACCTGTCCTTTAAAAACAGGTGTAGTACCAGAATCCTGGAGGATACCGAATGTAATACTGATTTTCAAGGAGAGATAGATCACTATCCTCTAACTACCGACCAATCAGTCTAACATCAATTGTAGGCAAATTACTGGAAGCAATCATTTCAAACTAGTCAAAATTACCTGGAGAAGCTCAAGTTGATCAATGATTTCCAACATGGCTTCACAAGCAGGCGTTCATGTCAAACTAATATATTAACATTCTTTTCATCTGTTTTCGAATCGGTGGACGAGGGGCACAATTATGATGTGGCATATCTCGACTTTAGCAAAGCCTTCGACAGAGTCCCCCACGGAAGACTAATAAGAAAAGTGGAGGCTCGTGGCATTAAAGGAGATATTCTAAAGTGGATTAGGGTGTGGTTACAGGACAAGAAACAGCGAGTGAGCATTATGGCACTAGTGGAGTTCCCCGAGGCTCAGTACTCGGACCATTGTTATTTATTATATACATAAATGACATAGATATCAGTGAAGACAGCATCATAAGTAAATTTGCCGATGACACTAAAATAGGGTGTGTAATTAAATCTGACGATGACTCCGCAAATTTACAGGAAGATCTAAACACATTTTTCGAATGGTCTGAAAAATGGCAGACGAGATTCAATGTGGACAAATGCAAAGTACTCGGTACAGGAGATGTAAACAGGGAAACCAGATACCAGATGAACAACGATGTTACTGAGAAATCCGACTGCGAGAAAGATTTAGGAGTAATGATAAGTAGGAATCTTAAGCCAAGTAAACAATGTGTACAGTCATGCGCCGGTTATCGTCCTAGATACGTTCTTGGGAATGTGATGTTAACCGAAACGGACGTTGTCCGAAATTACATAAACCTATCGTATTTATTCTAATGGGGGTTCCAGGCACCCAACCCCAAGTTTCCCATTTTACAACCATTTATACCCACTATATATATATATATATATATATATATATATATATATATATATATATATATATATATATATATATATATATATATATATATATATATATATATATATATATATATGTTATGGTAAATATAAACACACACAGGCATGGCTAGGTTTATTACAAAGTGATGAAAAGGATAATGTAAAGTGGGTAGTCCACAATACATGTAGCTATGTCTCTCTGTTTGAGTGCCCCGTCATAGGAGTCCGTTTTCTCTCACTTCAGGGCTCCTGAGTCGTCCGTTTTCTCTTTAATCTTAGAGTGCAGTACACCAGATACTTCTTTATTTCGTAGTAATGACACAGAATTTGAAATTGCAACTGGAGTTGCAATTGTTGAGGCAACTAGATATGTCTGATTACAGCAAATGTGTTATTGTCAATTTGTGGGTGAAAGATTTTATCCTCAATAGATGTAGGTTAACATAACACCTGCAGGCAAATGTTTAAAAAAAAGCTTAATCAAGGAAGCATATTCCTTTAACACATATCTGACCAATATGGGGAGGATCATCCTGTCTCTGTCGGGGGGTTGTGGAGTGGTGGTCCAGCAGGCGTCACGGAATTTTTTTTTGGGGGATGGACGTATATGCGATCGCACGTTGTTCGGGCGGACATTGACCGGCGCATGACTGTATTTGCTCGAAACAAGGCTAATAGAGTACTTGGGTTCATACAAAGGAGTGTTAGTTACAAGACTAGCGAGGTCATCTTAAAACTATATCTTGCGCTTGTGAGACCCCACTTGGATTACGCAGTTCAGTTCTGGTCACCGTATGAGAGAATGGATATAGAATCCCATTTACACCCAACCCCCATTGCTCATATATCCATCCAACCTACGTTTGAAGCTATCTAGCGTATTCGAGTTAATGATAATGATGATCGGTAACTTGTTTCATTCGTCCACTATACTGTATTTCCAAACCAATGTTTACCTATTTCGCGCCTAAATCTAAATTTGTCTTAATTTAGAGCCATTGTTACGAGTTCGCTCCTGGTTGGATAGTTTGAGTACCTTTGTAATGTCCTCTTTGTTTAGCCCTCGCTTCCATTTATACACTTCTTTATCATATCGATATAAGAACAGCCCAGTCCCAACCATTGTAAAAATTATCAATAACTTGTAATAAACCAGTGTATTCACTCCCAGTAAATCCTACTTTTTGCACTTTCACTGTTGAAATGCCCTGTAGTTTGAGCTTTTCCCCACCTAGTTATTATATATCTTATTTGTATCACTTATGGTACTTGTATATTATTTGTAAATCGAAACCCATTCCCCAATTATGTAACTATTTTCAGCTTTCTGGCTGCTATGCTCTTTCAATAAACCGTTAATTTTTATTATTGTTATACGTCTCGAGGGATTGCATATTAAGATGCTTTAACCTATCTCTGTACTCAAGGTTTCTATTGCCCAGGATTAGTCTTGTCATTCTCCTCTGAAGTCTTTCTCGGGATTCTATATCCATTTTGTAATAGTGACCAGAATTGAACTGCGTAATCCGAGTGAGGTCTCGCAAGCACAACATAATGTATAGTTTTTTGATGACCTCTCTAGTCTTGTGCAGTTTTATGCTTGCCTATGTTACTGGTGTAAAGGTTCAGAATATTTTCCTTTCATCCAAGATGCCAAGAATGTTCTTACTCTTGTACTGTACTGTAGGGTCTTTTAAAAAAATGGATTTTAGTTTAGTTTTGGGATAAGGTATCATTGATCTTTAGTCGGTTTGTTGTCACTATTAGTGGTACAACTCTGCAGTGTTGTGGCAATAATCAGTGTACTGTACTTAAAGAATTTTAAGGTCAAACTGATTTTTCCTTTTTCCCTGCCATATTTATATTGTGGTGTAGAACAAACAACCTTAAATATACTCTCCCACAAAAGGTATCGGGAAAATTAATTGGTGACAGTTGTTTGTATCCTCTTCCCAGAATTAATTTTGGTTGAAATATTAAATGTTTGCTTGTACTACAGTATACATTAGTTGGATACATTTGACTCTTTAGCTCATTAACCTCTACCCGGTAAACGTTTATGATATCTATATCGATATTTTTTATTGCTTTCTTTTTCTGCAAATGAATGTTAATGTGTGGTATATTTTACTCTATTCTGTGTACAAACATCAGATATGCATGGTGTAGTACTTCCTTTTGAATTGACAATCATTAGTTTGAAATGAATTTTTGAAATCCTAAACCATGCATCTTACTCAGGTGTGGACCTTCTTTAATTGGACATATGGGAAATTTAAAAAATATTTTGAATATATTAGCTATTGGTGCAGACAATCTGAAAGGTGCCTGTGTTTAATAACTTCAAGTGGCTGTAATGAAGGATGTTACTTTATATTGGCATGCACGTGGGCATTTAACATGTGTTGAACAGTTATTGTGGTAATATGAACCCTCATCACTTACTAAATTTTTTTATACTTCATTAGGAAGAGATTAGTTGTCTGAATTATAACGAGGTTTCTGGAATTTGAACTTTACAAATCAATATTTATCAACCCCTTTTCCTTATCACTTCACTTCCCTTTTATCACCTTTCCCCTCAACTTTGAACTGTCTTCCATTATCTTTAGCTTTTCAGTTTCATCCATTATGCTTTTCTTCTTGATTCTTTTGCATTTCTCTTATCATATGCTTTCCTGTTGTTTTTCCTTGTCTGGCCTCTTTTTGTGTTTCTCTTTGAGATGTGGATACTATCTAGTTTTAGAATGGCAAATCCAACAATTTTGGACTGACTGGTAGTTTAGAACTCCCTTGAATCTTGGACAAGACTACCAATCTGGTAATCTATATTACTATGAAAGCAATTATTACAACGCCTGTACAGTACTCCGGTGCAACTGTCATTTTTAGCTGCTTTCCGACTGATGCTTCCTGCTGAAACACAATGCTAGAGCGCTTCGAGTACTGTATCACAAACCACAGAATTGTAACAAATATTGGCAAGTAGAGATAATGCTAGGCGACTTGATGGAACTAGGCAATGTGAGAAGTCACTGCACCAATTGTGTTTTAAGATTCAAGCGACTTTGTCTGATAGCTTCAGTGTCTGAAAAGCTTAATTTCAAAGCATTTACTTTGGTCATGTTCGTATTATCCCAACGTGGATAGTATTGTGCCAGAAATGAAATTGGAATTTGAGATTGTGAAAGTTTTTATTACAGTACTAATTGTGCTGGTCTTGGGTAGTCAGGGAGGAGGATGTTGTGATGGTTGTATAATGATGCAGAGATATTCAGTGTTCTTGTTCTTAACAATATTTTATAAGTATTATTAATGGTATTAGTGGTACTGTACTTCATATATTTCATTCACTACATTTTAAGTTTCAGTGCACATTGTATAGATGAATATGCCCTTGTGGTGGTCATTTATGGAGTGTAAAACTGCAATTGAGGAAATGTTTTAAGAAGTTTGTACTTTGCATACTTGTCATTTACAAGCTTATGGATTATGGCAAAAGAAAAAATTTAATTTGCCTCGGCCTGAGAGGGTTAACGTTGACAGTTGCCATGAAATTTTTCTGGTATTCATACTGTATATTGGGAGAAGTTGTGTTTGTACTGTATTTTGCAGGTTTACTCAGCATGCTGGTTGCAGTAAAACAAAATTTGTGAAATGATTTTAAGGTGTGGGAATGGATGTTCAAATTCTTGAAATGGGTTTACATGAAAGTACAAATGAAATGTATTGCTTTCACAAGATGTTGGTCTGGTTTTTATTATAGCTCTCTTGCTCTGAAGACATTGCCATGTTGTGTGTCTGGAAAGGATTTTACTTTAGGTCAGGTTCTTAGGTTGTTTGATAAGCCCTCGTTGAATTTTAGATGACTGCAACAGAAAGAAGCCATGGATTTTCCGGTTCTTCGATGCAAGGACGTCGGGACGACAGCTTCGTGGAGTAGACGAAGTGGCTCAACATAATTCATGCTTTCATTTTCAGGTTCATTTATAAATAGTTAATCCTAAGGTCCCCTTCTAGGTCTCGCTCCCGTTCTCGTTCTCGCTCGCGTGATCGTCGACGCGATAGTGATGACTGGGGTGGTTCACGTGGTGGGTGGAGTGCTGCTGGTGGTGGACGACCGTCACTGAAGGGGAGGCAGCCAGGAGAGCGTCTACGGAAGCCGAGATGGGACCTGTCCAGACTTACCCCCTTCGAGAAGAACTTCTATCAACCCACACCGACCGTACTCAATCGCCCAGCATATGAAATTGAAAAATATAGGTACGTAATCAGGTTAGGTAAATTGTTGCAAAAGAAACTACTGTTTTTAATTGGAAAATGCAAAATTGGAGTATTTTTGTTCTAATATCTTTTTTCCTTTTGACCAGGAATGAAAAGGAAATCACATTACGTGGAAAGAATATCCCCAATCCCATCCAGTACTTTGGCGATTATAATTTTCCGGATTACGTTATGGCTGAAATACGAAGACAAGGGTATGAACAGCCTACTCCAATTCAGGGGCAAGGATGGCCAATCTCACTTCAGGGAAGGGACTTTGTTGGCATTGCACAGGTAAGAAACTTAATTATTGTCAAAAAAAAATTTTTAATCTTCAAAGATAGTTGTGAAAGTGTGTATATAAGTACAGTACTTTTAAAGTGATTTTGTGTATTGGTTTTATTATATTAGTGCTTTCTCCATTGCAGACTGGTTCTGGTAAAACCTTAGGCTACATTCTACCAGCAATTGTTCACATAAATCATCAGCCATATTTAGAACGAGGAGATGGTCCAATAGCTCTCATCCTGGCTCCCACCAGAGAACTTGCACAGCAGATCTTAACAGTTGCACAAGACTATGGGGCCTCCTCAAAGATCCGATCCACATGTGTATTTGGAGGTGCACCAAAGGGACCACAGATTCGTGATCTGGAAAGAGGAGTTGAGGTTAGTATCCGATCCACATGTGTATTTGGAGGTGCACCAAAGGGACCACAGATTCGTGATCTGGAAAGAGGAGTTGAGGTTAGTATATTAACATTGTTGGTGGGTCTCCTGACAGGCTTTTGATACAAGGAAAACTTAAAGGTGTGAATAGTTCTGCATCAAATATTAGTGTAGTGATTTTAAAATGTCTTTTCAACTGTTTCATTAAATCATTGGAAAAGGAGTCAATTAAAATGTTGAAGTTTGTCAATTTTGCTTGTGCTCTCTTCCCTAACAGCAGAACTGGGTTCAGTATGCTTTAGGTTGTGCATGTATTGAGTTCACGTTTTGTAGATGCATTTTTACTTTTGTTTCCTGTTTGGATGAGATATCAGGTTGGGTTAATTTTATGCCATTTTTAGGCTTCACCACAGTAAACAACTCTGGAGCAGGCAACTATATTGGGTATGGTGGCAAGATAGTTTTTATGCTGAATTTGCCGACTTGATTATCAATTCAAAACTTGAAGTGACAGTATTCGATTGCAATCAAATGTTCAAGTAGTTTAACCATTTCCCACTGGCTTGTTAATGAAACCCAATTCCCATACAAATACCCAGCATGGACATTGAGGTTTTTTTTTAATCAGATGAATGAGGTTGTTCTTGAATCAGACGAACAATTGACCTGTATGTTGTACCCAATCTTGTTGCCTGTTTGCCTCGAGGTTGACATACATTAAATATGTAGCTGTTTGGAAAGAGTATAGTCTCACACCTAGCATTATGGCTGCATTGGGGGAAGGTGGATTTATTTCGGGATTTTGGGTTCTTCTCCAAGGGAAACATTTTACTAGATATGGGTCCTCTTGTGTATGAAATCCTCTGGGTGCTCTGGAACTGGCTGGCCACTGGGGCCAGCTTACCATGGAAGGACTCGGGGTCTCATTAACTGGATTGTAGTCTCATATAACTGTTAAGCATTTCAAAGCTAGCTATTGTAACATTTAAATTGGATGAATATATTTAATACTAGATAGGTGTCAAATTTTCTCAGGGTATACTTGGGCTCTTTAGGGACATTGACAGCTCGTGTATTTCAGTAGGTTATAGCTTTTTAAGTAATTATTACTGGTGCTGTTAGATATTTTTTTTTTTATTTCTAGATTTGCATAGCTACACCAGGACGTCTTATTGACTTTCTTGAAGCAGGAAAAACAAATCTCCGGCGTACTACGTATTTGGTACTAGACGAGGCTGACCGCATGCTGGACATGGGTTTCGAGCCTCAAATCCGAAAAATAGTAGACCAGATCCGGGTGAGTTTAGTGTTGATGGCTTCTAGAAAATGAAGATATGCTTTTGCACTGTTTATTATATGTTAATGTATAATGACTTAAGTTGTAAAATTGTAGGGATAATAATTTAATTTCTTCTTTCCAGCCTGATAGACAAACGCTCATGTGGTCAGCAACATGGCCGAAGGAGGTGAGGAATTTAGCCGAGGACTTTTTAAAGGACTACATACAGCTGAACGTTGGGTCATTGTCCTTAGCTGCCAACCATAATATCCTCCAGATAGTTGATGTGTGTCAGGAGATAGAAAAGGATAACAAGTGAGTGAAACTTTTTGTATCTGGTATTATCTTGAAATATGTAAATTTGCCTTAAATTTTTTAATTTTTAATGTATGGCTTGTTTGTAATAATAAAAATATTAGAAGGGCATGAATATTTGCTTAATCAGTTGGTGCCTACAGGCAGTTGTGTCTGACATTTTGCATTAGACACTGGCAATATTATTTATAAGGTTTGAATATTTGGAGTTCATATAAAGCATTAGAATATTGGTGCTGTTTGTTTTATGATTTGCCTTGCCCCATAGACTCCGGCAGCTACTTGAAGAAATCATGGCTGAAAAGGAAAGCAAGATCATCGTGTTTGCTGAAACAAAAAGAAAAGTCGACGATTTGACCAGGCGAATGAGACGCGAAGGGTAAAGAAAATGCACTTTTATGATAGATCCTCAGGATCTCGGTGACATTCTTCTACCTGAAGCTACCTCAGGCCTTTGGGACACAGAGCAGACTTTGCATTTTTGGCTGCTGCAGCTATTAATCCCGTATTGGGGGGGAAATTTTCAAAGGGCTAATGTATCCAAAAGATAGCAAAGTCTGCGATGCCTGCTTGTTGCATTTCCTCTACATCCCCCTTTCCCTGTTTTCTGTAGGCTGCGCCAGTTGCTCAATGAGATGGCGCAGGAGAGGGCTTACAAGACAATAATCTTTATCGAAACCAAGAGGAAGGTGGAGGATGTTACTCGTGGGTTGAGGAGTACTGGGTAAGATAAGGAAGAGGCATCCCGCATGCTGTGTTAGTACGCACCATACTAGATGCCTTGGGTTGAATACTGCCCATCTGACCCGGAGAGGTTGTGATTCATTGTTCTTGTATATATGGAGTAGTAGCTGTTTAAATTTGTCCCCCCACAGCAAAATGCACAAGGATGTTAATCAGTCACTTCTAGTAGCAAGTTGTGTCCCTTGGGTCTGCAAACTGTAGCTTGTATTTCTAAGAACTAGCATTGGTTTTGCATACAGATAAATTGAAAATATAATTGGTTTACAGGTAAATTGTAGTAGTATCATAATATATATATAAATATATATTTTTTATTCAGGTGGCCGGCAATGTGTATCCATGGAGATAAATCTCAGCAGGAAAGAGACTGGGTTTTAAGTGGTGAGTGCGGTTAGTGGGAATGAAAAATATTAGGTGGTTTCAGTATACTGTATTATAAAATTTGATTGTCATTATATAAAATTGAAATGAGATCAATTTCAGAGTTCCGATCTGGGAGGGCACCAATCTTGGTTGCCACTGATGTTGCTGCACGAGGGCTGGGTAAGTATGCATTGCCTGTTAGCAATAGCATTCGATTGAGTTGTTTGGGAGGGTCTCATGCAGTAAATTGACAAGGGTGGGTACCAAGATTAAGTCCAGACTGTACATTTGGTGGTTTCATATTGTGGGAAAAGCCTTTGGCTTGAGATGTGATGACTGCAGGTGATCACATATGCTGACAGTGGCAATGGTTTCCACCTGTATGATGTAGTGCGACAGGCTCCATACCTGTGGTTGTGTACAGCTTCTTAAGGCTCTGGAGTGATGGTCTGGTCATGATGCAGGTGTAAACATGCATCATTGTCCAGACTTATTGTGACACCTATGTTAATGTTCCTTCAGATCATAAATGACAAAAAGATTTTAATATAGATTTAACTTCATTTGTGACCATATTTAGGTATTTGCTCTACAATTGGAGATCTGGACTGGCTATGCAAATTTTACAAACCATTGTAGTTGGTGGAAAATTGGCTTGCACATTTGAAACGGTGATTTTACATCAAAAGGCCTTGAATGGAAGTTGATGTATTATCTGTTTTGAGGACAGTAAATTGGATATGCAGCTCAGATTTGCTTTTGACAGAGGATACCAAAATGTGGATGGTTTTAGATCAGTAGGGTTAATGTAAGTTTCCTTGTAATTAAAGCTGTCATATGCTAGCTTGTTATTTGGTATGTGGCATCATTGATTATATTGATATAAATAAAAAGCCTCCCTTAGATAATTGTGGGTGCCTCCAGAGGTTAAGGAAGCAGTTCCCTTGCATGGAGCCACTGTTAATTCAGTCTGGTCTTCTCTTTTGCAGAGGCACTCATAGAGAGATAATGCACGGAGGATGTTTCGTTGCATTAGGCTCCGGTGCCTCTGAGACTCGTCGTGCATCACTGAGCACGAATGCGCAATGGTGCCAGGTGTCCGCTGGTGCCACCAGACAGATGGTCATGTTGCCTTGGCCATCAGGAGGTGGCAGAGGTCAACGATGACTGCCTGCAGCCTGTGTTGGTCCCCTCCGACCCACTCTGGCCTGCAGCAGTCCGCACTGGTCTCACCTGGCGGGTCCATCCTGGAACTGTCAATTGATTCACTACTGTAGCATCGTGACAAGCCACAAGCCCCTGACCTGTGGTTCATGGGGCCCTGACCCCAAACACAGGGCCCTCAGCCCAGGGAATGGATGTTCCTTTAGGGTCCACCCCGGCCCCCACTTGCCGCTGCCTCTCCCGCTCTGCCACATGTGGAACGTAGGTATCTCCGCGGGAAGCAGTGGTTGCTGGGGGCATGTGGGGTGCATGCTCGCAGTAATTTTTAGTTTCTAGTAACATGCTCTTGATCTAAAGTTTTAGTTTAATTTTAAAAATAATTAAAGTTGTCTAGTAATGAGTGTGCACCCATTGAGGGCTCGAGTGTATCCAGCCACAGGTGTTGTGGAAGAGGCTTGTTTAAGGATGAAAAAAGCGCGGTCTAGCTTTGTTAGAATCCATCATTTTATGGGCCATTTCATTTTTTTATTTTATTTTAATGCATGCTCTTTTGGCTTACTCCATCTTTGTACTCATATTTAACTGCTTTTATTTCTTAAATATTTCTTATTTACTTGTATATTTAATTTTATTTTTTTATTTTTTTTATGAAATGGCCCAGAGAACTGCCAAGTTTTTTCATCAGCTTCTAAAAAGTAACAACTAAATTTTCTCTTGAATTACTTATTTGCTGTGCTTAAAGCTTTGAACTTGGCAGTTTAGTTGAGTAGCAGCTTGTGCACTTTTGTAACATGACTTTTACTGTGTAGATGTGGATGATGTGAAGTTCGTGATCAACTACGACTACCCATCATGCTCTGAAGATTATGTACATCGTATCGGCCGAACGGGCAGATCAGACAAGACGGGTACAGCATACACATTCTTCACAGCAGATAACTGCAAGCAAGCAAAGGATCTGATAGAAGTGTTGAAAGAGGCCAATCAGGTTGTTAACCCACGACTCTACGAGATCATGGACATGTCACGAGGTGGTGGTGGCAAAGGTAAAGTAATACTACATGTAACTATAAAGCAACTTGAAAAAAAAATGTAAAATTTCAGCTATTTCAGGAGTAAGAGATTTGTAACTCTGAATTCTTTTGTCAGGGCGTAATCGCTGGAGGGGGCGTGATGATGACAGGAGGGGAGGTTTTGGGCGCGATCGTGATCGTGGTCGTGTGGGTGGTGGTAGTGGTGGAAGGAACGGCTACAGCAATGGAAACGGCTATGGTACGTCTGAAGGGCTTGGAAGATTTAACCAGTTTAGAGGCGGAGGCAATAGCAATGTTGTGCCCAATGGGGTGGGTGCAGGCCAGGCCCGCCTGAATGGGCCACCTCCACTCATGGGGTCTGGTTCTGTGAAGGCCACAATGGGCCAAGCAGCTTCCCAGAGCCAGTTGAATGGCCCCCAGCGCTCCGTCCAGAACATGGGAGCCATGGCCATGGGCATGTTCAACCAGACTGCCTCCGTAGCTGGTACTGTTGGTGGCCTAGGCATAATGGGGGCCATGCCTAGTGCACTGAACTGGCCGCGGCAGTGACCCCGTGGCTGCCCTAGTCAAGCTCCTGCCTCCTGCTCTCCAACTGGGGCCTTGCCAAGTGGCCGCCTCAACTCTTGCCTCGGCGACTCATCATCACCGTAACAAGTGTCAACCGATCCTCTGAGTCTTCTTGTAACTCTGAACTGATGATGGGGCCTCACTTGGCAAGGTTTCTCATCATAGGTGTATCTAAAATATTTCTTCTTGACCTTAGTATATTGTATGCACAGAATTGGAATTTTCCCATTCCAACATGCTGATGTAGTCTTTGAAAGTGAATTTTTAAGATGGCATGGCATGTTTGGCAAGTGAGGTGTTCTATTCAGTAGTTATCAGTAGTTAGTTTTTGAGTTTACTATTGACGCTGTTGGTATCTATTACAGCTTACTGAAGCCCGGGCCGGAGGTGACCGCTTACCGCTGCACCATCCCCTTTCTAGGAGATTAGAGGTTGCGCACGTTACCACTAAGTACTTGACAGGCTTGGTTGTCAAGGGTAGGGAAAGTTCGGCTCACCCCATCATTACAGTGTGCGGACACCTGCGCCATTCCTCCTTGTCTACGGGACTGCTGTCTGCTTAAGCCAACGACGTCATTGTTAGTAAACCTCACTGTCCAAAAGCCGGTTGAGTTAGTCATGTCAGCATGTCGTTGATTATCAAATATTTTGTTTCCTTTTTTAACCAAATATTCCATTGTAATTTTAGGAAGTATTTCCTAGTTTCTTTATACTGTATAGAGGATATTATTTTTGATTGTATCATTTAAAAAGAAATTATTTGTGTATGGACCAAGAAACTTTGTAACCCTCTGAATAATTAAATAAAAAGAATAATTGTAAAACTATGTTTGCATACTTCCTCTGCTTGCTAGTAACTGTAGTGTGGTGTAGGTGTTTTACCAGTAAAGAAAATGTCAAAAGCAAGTGTATTGTGGAATTTGATTGAAATACCTTTTACTTTAGCTTGGCATTGAAAATTAGTCGAGATTCAGTATGTTGGCATTCCTTAATACTTCATATTTGTTTGCTTAGTTCAGCTTAAATGTGACTACTACCCTGGAGCAGATTTTGCAAGTACAGTAGTATGTATACAGTTCATAGTATGAGTATGATGTATCTACCTGCATATTTTCACTAACCTTGACACCTTGAGGCAGATTTGGGTTTAACAAGCTTGTGGACAGTATACTTTCTTCAAACTGTCGACTGCTTGCAGGACTTTAAACTACTTATGTAACACATGAATAGGTTCAATGATTGACCTGATCAACTGAGCTCTAAGTATGAAGCCTACAGATAAACATTGTGCATTAATAAAAAAATTCACTTCAACACAGGCACTTGCCAAATATAGGCTACTGCTGTGTTAAATGTGTTTACTGCATGGAAAGGTCATATGTGAAAGGGCTTTTGGTTGGCACAAGAAGTGCTACAGATAGCATAAGTAGAAATCCCTGACTTTTTTCATTGAATTGTAATTGGATAAAGGAAATGTGGTTTGGTAAGTCTTATGCTCCATTAGCAGTGCTAACACGAGAAAGCAGTATGGCCAGCACTGCAACATACCAACCCCCCCCCAACTGTATTAGGTGCTCACAGCAAAGTAAACTGAAGTGCACTGGGCACAAAGCAGTGACATTTAGGGGAGAGGTGAGCACTGGATGCACTGCAGTTTAGGTCTGTTAGAATGATTTATTTTGGTTACATGAGCACCTTGGAAAGTGGAGGAAATTATTTAAACTAATGTAGTTGATGAAAATAGACAAAAGTATGCTTGTGAAAAACCTCAAGTACAGTATCCAGGAACTAAGTCACATCTTCCTGCAACTTTGTCTTGAAATTTTTACTACAATCTAGATTCAAGAGGTACTGAAGTGTCGTTGATTTAAATTTTACAGCCAGTACTGATGTAATTTTGTTTGGGGTTGAAATAAAGGTACAGTATTTACAAATTCTAAGTTACTGTTTTGCAGAAGTAGCATTTACAATATAGGAAGAGCAATTGAAAATTAGTACCCAGAAGTTATTTGGATACAAATACATATGGTTTTAGTATGTGCTGAAGGGATTATTTCCTCAGAATTGCTAGATTTACTGGAATTTTCTTTGATAAGTGTCTAAAAGGGGGCAAATACTAGTAGGGTACAAGCAAATCTGGGGTGAGCTGGTGTTGCAAGCTTCTAGAGTTGTCAGTCAAGAACTAGAAAATGAAGATTTACCTTTATATCTTGAAAATGATTGGCTATGCCTTGGCATATTGCTTACTGATTTAGGCATCGTACTTCAATGAGCTGTAGTGTACCTCATGAAGTGTGTGATGGGGAAAGGGAATGATTGATTTAGGCAGAGAGAAATGCTATCAATCCTGGCTATCAATGAGGGTTGTCTAAGTAAGTTTATATAAACCCCAAAGAATCAACCCTGTACAGTGTTGCAAAAGCCTACTCCATTCTTTAGGCTGAGACCCGAAAGCAACTTGTAGAACATTATCCCATTTCAAATTGATGATTTTCCAAGAGAATATACAAATATATTTCATAATTTTTACTTTGCTAAGAACTACAAACTATAAGTAAAGAGTTTTTTTTTTTTTTTTTTTACTCAACCACATCACTAATACAATATGTTAAAATTTCTTAGGTTCACCAACATTAGCTGGATGCTGCTCCTATACCTGTGTTGGAATTCTGCACTTTCTCGTATGTTTTTCTGTAGCCGTAAGGGAAGTATCGCAGTTGCATCACTATCTCGGTGTTGGATTTTAGGATCTTCACAGCCTTGGCATGTTCAATGTCCTCAAAATTAGTTTCATTGACAGAAACAATCTGATCAGCTTCCTGCAATCCAAGCCGTTCAGCTTCTGTGTTAGGCATCACTTTGGAAAGAAATATGCCACAGAAATGTTCCTTTCCTCCACGAATGTTGAACCCCAACTGTTGAAAAAATAAACATTAAATAGTATATTGTTCTAAGCAATTACCTAGCTGTAAGAACACAGAAGAATTAATGGTTGTATACCAAGTTTTATGTCCACAGTATAAAGCCCAGTAATCTATGAATAGCACTCACAGCATCAGATACTTTTTCTCGAATAAGAGTGACTGTCCGCATCAGGAACAACTGCAGATCATTGTTATAGTCAGGATGATGACAGCGCTGTTATGTGGGAAAAGAAAGTATCATCTTATTTGAAAGAATGCAAAATCTAAATTATACTAATAATTAATGTAGGTAGTGTATATACTGTATACCACACAATACACTGGCAAATTTCTAAAGTACAGAAGGGGACAAAAGTTCGCTCCATGTGATGAAACCGAGTCACGGGACTCTCCGAACTGACTTACCCTGACTGTTTCATCTCATTTGGAGTTGATGCTTCATTTTGGGCAGGAACGAACTTTTGACCTCAACTGTACACTACAATACTGTAATCTTAATTTGAATCTCAGATGCTGAATATGTAAACTTTTTTTTTTACCATCTTTTATTAGAGCTGAAATGCCAGGAATACATTTGTGTTACTTTCCTAGGACAAACACTAATACTACTGTATAAATTTCAAAACACTGGCAATCGTTAAAAAAAAGAAAAAGGTCCAGTATTTAACTATACAGTACTGCATGCATTTAAAGTGCAAGACTACTGGCAAAGCATGTTCTACATAAACCTACACTTACATCCTCTCTAGTCATTAATGATAATTCCAAATCATATTCCATTGCATAATCAATATGTTGTACCACTGGAAAAAACTCAACATACATTACTACAGTATTGTAACAGGTATAATGGAATGATTCTGACACTATTTTCTACCAAAGCTCACAGCCAGGTAGCTCCTGTTGATGTGAAAGTCATCCTGGGGTGAAAAGCCTAGTCACAAGACCATGCAGTCAGACACTGGTACTTGTGTCTTGCAGGAGATATGGAGACAATGGGAGTTGCTACCCACCAAAGTGCGTGTAGCATACAAGAATTAAATTACTATGTATAAGTATGTGGTGACATAGTGGTTAGTGACTTCCTGTGGTAGGAGGTTTATGACAGTGGGACAGCCAAGGCAATAGTGTTGAAGGGTGTTAGCATTGGGACAGTCACAGAGTTTATGGGTAGAGAAATGTGGGTCATCCCCCACCTCAGATACTTACCAGATAGGTCTGTATCCTAACCTAATGTGAGCAGAGACAGCATTATGTCTGCAGACCTTGAGTCCATGTTGAAGATACTTATGTGGATAAGGAAGAAAGTGATCATAGTGCTAGATGGATATACTCTCAGCCTGTTCACTATCCTTGCACCGGTTTGTATGGAAAAGAGCGTCTGAACGTATTCTTTTTCAGTAGCAGAGGAGAGAGGGTGTATCCCCAGTACCAGAGAGGGCCAATCCACAGGCATTCTTTGTGAGATGGTCAACAGTGTCATTGTTTGTCATCTTGGGAAAGTATAGGATAGGCCTGGCCTGTAAGTGACAGCTGGGAGTACCTTATGTTCCCCTACACTGATATAGCTACTTTCCAAAAAAATGAGAACAACTATAAAGGCTGCTTTCTACAGGAAGGAATCCTATAAAGTCAGAGATGTGTAAATGCTCAAAACAGTACAAACATGCCATCTCCAGTAGCCATCCTGATTTCAGAGTCAATCCATTACACTAAAATCAGTTTCTTGCTGACTACTGTACCTACAAATCCAAGGAAAATGAGTGGGTGTCAGAGTCACCTGGCTACAAACTTAACCAATCCCACCAAACAAGGCTTCAACTCGATTCCCCAAAAGACATGTGAAACAAAGATGCTCAAGATAAACTCAACTAGAAGATGAGGTGAGGACAAGTTTAGGAAGTATCCATCTATTTCACTTGCAAATCAGAGTTGGAAAGGGTAAGGAAAAGGCTTTGATTAACATCATGGAAGAAATATTAACCAGATTAGATCTTACAAAACCAACTGGTCATAAATAAAAAACGTAAAGAGCATACAAAAGGATCCCAGCCTCTAAACATATACCCTAGACTAGAGGATACTGCACTGCCACTGAATTATTTCCCGACTCATTGCCAGGTCAATTAGATATGTACCAGGCACAATATATCAAGATGAGCACTAGTCTGCACTACTGAATAATTCCTTATACAGTAAGTCCTCACTTAACGTCGAGGTTACGTTCTTGAAAATGCGACGTTATACGAAACAAAGTTAAGTGGATCAATTTTCCTTACAAGAAATAGATAAAATACAGGAGTTACATTCCTGAGCCTCCCTTTGCCCCAAGAAATACATTACATATACAGTATAGTCTCGGTTTACACGTATTTCTTATAAGCGGTTGGTCATTTACGCGGCAATTATTAGTTACGCGGGAAGCGGTGCGGACAAACTGTGCGCTAGGTTGCTCTTACGTCACCGCTGACGTCAGATCACGTATCGGACTGTGATTGGGCCACGCATTCCCTCCGTCGCTAGCTGTGATTGGTCTATTTAACCTTGCTTGCCCAGTCAACAAAACATTACCAAGTTCTTCACCCGCCACCCACCACAGCCAGCCCAAGTCAGTGATAGTGATAGTGAGGATATGGACTTTGAGGGGTTTGACAAAGAGGCCCTGCTAGACTCTGTGGTGGATAGTGATACAAGTGATACAGGTGAGAGCCAATAATCTGCCCTCTGCCTCGGAACCAACCCCTCATCCCCGTGTGCCCAGCCATCTCTTCTACTAACGAAAGTGTTAAAAAACCTAATATTATTTATATTTCTCTTAAATATTAATTATGTGTGCATGCCATCATAAAATTAAGATGTTATTTTTACTAAAACGTGCATATTGTGTTGGAAAAAGGGTAGTCTGGGGGTCGGGCCAGTCTCTATTTCAATTAATCCCATATGTTCTGTTATTTCGTTTACGTGTTTCTCGTTTTACGCGGACCTCCATGTGTTTAATTAACCGCATAAACCGAGACTATACTGTACAGAAATTCAATGGCATTTTTATAGAAAATAGTATATACAGGTTGACAACCCTTTATCTGAAATTCCGAAAACCGAAAAGCTCTGAAAACCAAAAGTTTTTTTTGTGGGGCAATTTTTTTTTTTTTTTTTTTTTTTTTTTTTACAGGGATTAGCCCACCCGGGCATAGATCACTGACCCACATCAGGGCCTGGGGGGCGAAAATGTAATATAATAATAATAAATATAATAATAATAAATATAATAATAATAAATATAATAATAATAAATATAATAATAATAAATATAATAATAATAAATATAATAATAATAAATATAATAATAATATATATATAATAATAATTATAATAATAATAATTATTCATAGTAAATAAAAATTTTAATAAAAACACACCAAAATAAAATAATATGATAACATTAATAATAATAATAATAAAATATAATAATAAAATTAATAAAAATAACAATAATACAGGAGTACTGTAATTATAAAAAAAAAAATAATAATAATAATAATAAGAAATACAAGAATGAAAAAAAGATCAAAAGTGAAAAACACGACTTAGACCTATGAAGAATTATTATTATTATAATTTCACCCCCAGGCCCTGATGTGGGTCAATGATCTATGCCTGGGTGGGCTTAAAAAAAAAAAACTAACCATTCTGAAAACCGAAAAATTCCAAAACCCGAAACGCCTCGGGCCCCAAGGATTTTGGATAAGGGATTGTCAACCTGTATTTAAATAAACTAAATAAACTTTTATTGTACCCACTGATTGACGGAGGTGGTGGAGCGAGAGTGTGTGGTGAGTAGTGAAGCGGAGGAGAAGGCTGGCGAGTCACTAAGACCCGGCGGGTGGCTCCTCCCGATTTAAAACCTCCATTTTCGTAGCAAGGCTAATGGTCTTATGTTGCTTCTTCACAACACTAGCATCATTAGCACTTGATGGGTGCTTGGAAGCCATTTCAAATGGTTAGAGTACAGTATTTAGAGCAAAAACACTTAAGCACCCACAAATGATGTGGAAGCATAACAGGGACTGGCTTGGCGTCGCTTGGGGACACTGTGACGTTCCGCGAGTAAGAGGTAGCTCGACGAGCCAAGAGAGCATAGCGCGGCTAGATGAGAGAGGGTGATGCGCCGTAAAATGTAGTCCGTGACGACGCAAAAACGTTAAATTGAGTCGCCAGGACGTTAAAATAATTATTGATATCTAAAGAGTAGCGACGTATTACCGAAACAACGTTAAGCAGGGTTGACGTTATACGAGGACTTACTGTACTTAGTAGGACTGTTAAATAAACACACAGAGACCTTCGGCTCAAACTTATCACCTCAAACCCCCCCCCACCCCTCGCTGGCTCAATCCCTCCCTCCCTAATCTGCCCAGCCGGGGGTTTATTTAGGCTTACAGTTTTTATCTTATATAATATCTCAGACTAAAGTTAGGAGATTATAATTTGCATTGCTGGAATCCTTGCAAGGCAGCTAATAATTTGAATATAAACGTCATATATTTTGCTCAAGAGATAAAAATTGTTGTACATTAGTGTACAGTACTGTACAGTAGTACATTTATAATATAAATTTTTTCAACTGCATTTTTGGGTAGATTTACATCAATTTCTTCAATTATTTTCATCCATTTGCATGCACACACCATACTAAAAGAAATGTAAAAGAAATAAATGACCTAAGTGCAAAGCTGGAGTGCACATGTACTAATTTGATTACGGTACTAAAATTGTTATGTCTAGTGCAATTTATAGCATGTTTATATTCAAATTAATCAGTATCTTACAAGAATCCCAACAATGTTAATTATATTCACCCAGGTCATGTCACTGGCTTTTTATAAGAGAGAAGCTTAGTCACTTAAGAACTGATAAATATACAGGTACACGCGTTAGACCTTGGGCCGGTGCCAACTGTCAAACGTACTACCTCCCCTCCCCCCAAGCCCCCTCGCTCGCTCCCTCCCTCCCTCCCTCTCCCCCAACTGCCCAGCGTTGCTGGAATCCTTGTAAAACAGTGAATAATTTTAATATAAACGTCATATATTTTGCACAAGAGATAAAAATTAATCACCTGTATCACATTACAGTAGTGATTTAAGAGTAAAAGTGTATATGTACGTATATAGTATTCCACATACACGTAAGTATAAATAAAAAGTTTATGTGATG